GCCTTCCCTGCCCTCTCCCCAACTCCAGATTGCAGAGATTCCTGTGTGGCTATGTGTACAGGTATTCATGTAGACTGTAACATTCCTATATCTACGGTGAACAGCACTAAAGAAGAACAATTTCAGGAGGCGAGGACAAGATGGTGGTGGTGGTGGGGGCTTAAAGGACAGAGCATTCCTGCCTCAAAACACAGCCCCAATGCACCCAAACATGATAAGGTTCGGCCACAAGATCGAAAACAATAAAAATTGCTTGGGCCGGGCGGTGGTGGCGCACGCCTTTAATCCCAGCACTCGGGAGGCAGAGCCAGGCGGATCTCTGTGAGTTCAAGGCCAGCCTGGGCTACCAAGTGAGTCCCAGGAAAGGCGCAAAGCTGCACAGAGAAACCCTGTCTCGAAAAACCAAAAAAAAAAAAAAAAAAAAAAAAAAAAAAAAAATTGCTTGGAAAGGAGATTTTTCCTGGCTGACTCCCTGAAAAAAATTAGAGATGCTCTTCTGCCCTCTAGTGGTCAGAATCAGCATCGTCCTTCAGGTATCCTCAGGAAGAAGCAGACATCCTCCTTAGCAACAGTTCCCTGTCACCTGTGCCCAGGAAGGCGGCCAACAGTAAAATGCCCAGACTGTAAAAATAGTGTCCATCTGAGGTATGTATGGGAGACATCAATGCCAACAAGCCTAGAAGTGTGGAGGAGGCCGCCTTACTTCTCACAGGGCTTAGGAGAGCAAGCAGAGATGATGAGAACAATAAGGGGTCTACCTTGGAAAGTGGGGGGCCTATGGGAACACAGGCTAAGTGCTCCCAGATACCACTCTATCCACGGTTACTCCAGGCACTGAGGCAGGAGGCTCTTTCATGGAGTCTGTGGGAGAGGGGATCATGAATAGGAAAGATCTACCGAGTGGTTCAGGAGACTTGGGTTTGTTTGGTGGGGTTCTTCCCCTTCTCAGTCTGAGACTCAGGCTCCTCATTAATATAGTGAAAGGTCTGAAATAGAAGCTGCCCAAGGTTCTTTCTGGCTCAGACATCTGGGCTGTTCCTACATCCTTGGAACACTACTGACATGCCCAGTACAAAATACATTACCCTCCATATCTTCAAGGGAGCTTCCCCACGGGAGCATTCCCCTCCAAACCCCTTGCTGCCCTGGATTTTGCTGCCTTTTAGTACAGTGGGAGCTAGCTTTTCTGTCTGGATAAGATGGCAGCTGACTTTTCATACAGTGTGTGCCTTACCAGTCCATCTTTGCTCTCTAGGAGTGGGCTTCTAAGGGCCAGGCTCCTGGAAAACAGGAGCATCTAGTCCCTTCCTGAACAGGCCTTGTGCTTGACAAGAATAAATAAAGAAGGCCGTATCTGATTTTATTTTCTCCTTGAAAATTGGTAACATCATTAACGACAAGTAAATATATCAGTGGGATTAATGGAGTGAATCACAGAGCAACTTGATTGGATTTAAGACCACATTATTTCTTTGGGGTGAATTAGTAAATTTAGCACTGTCAAGAGATGATGGATTGGGAACCCGGGGACTGAGAGTTCTTATTGATCCTGAGAACAGATCAGCTCAAGAGGCAGCTACAATAGCTCCCACCCTCTGCCTACAGAGAGAGAAAGGAGTTGTGGCTTTATTACTGATGGAACTATGCAGAAATCCTGTGTTCTCTTTCAGACGATGGCTGCGATACTTGTGAATACATGGGTCAGGCAGATCTGGGGTAATGGCCCTGTGGTGGTTTGAATCAATTGGCTCCTGTAGGCCCATAGGGAGTGGCACTATTAGGAGGTGTGGCTTTGTTGGAGTAGGTATGTCACTAAGGGTTGGGCTTTGAGGTCTCAGAAGCTCCAGCCAGGCCTACTGGCTCGCTCACTCTTCTTGCTGTCTGCAGATCCAAAACTCTCAGCTACCTCTCCAGCACCATGTCTACCCGCATGCCACCATGCTTCCTACCATGATGATAATGGACTAAAGCTCTGAACTGTAAGTCAGCCCCAAATAAATGTCTTTCTTTATAAGAGCTGCCATAGTCATGGCGTCTCTTCACAGTAACAGAAACCCCAACTAAGACAACCCCCCCAAATCCCTGCCTCTACCTAGAATACATATTCTTGCATAAGAATCCTTCTGCTTAACTGTGGGCCTGTGTGGTCAGTGGCTGTTTTCTAGCAAAGAGTGCTGGAGACATAACATGATGTGACCCGGAAGACTAGTTTACAAAATACGGTGGCTCCTTCTCTCAGGGGCTCTCTCTTATCTTTTCTACAGGAGGATTGGTGACAGAGTCCTGAAGAGAGGACCAAGAGAGTCAGCATGGGCACCACTGGCATGGGCTTGGAGTTGGAGCCTCTCCCTTTGGGTCCTTAAGGGGACTGCAGCCCAGGCTGGGAACTTGGTTGCATCCCATTGAAGTTGCTCCTGAGTCCCCCCGGAGCCATGTAAGAACTCTGAGGTAAGAAGTGTCCATCATGAGTCACTCTATACGTGGTGCCATTGCTATGGACTTGCTTTGGTAAGAAATAGGGATAGGACAGTGAGCATCACTTCTCATCACAGGCATTAGGGACCAATGTATACCTCGTAAGGCTGTTGGCTTCCTGCCTGGAGACTATAAACACTGGAATCAGGATAAAAATTTGTGGGCCTGGGTCCCGGAGTGACCATGGTGAGCTAACCCTTTCCAACCCCACTCTGTTTTGAACAGGTTATCTACACAATCAATTTTTTAGCACATCCAGTCACTTAAATTTGAGGACTATTTGTCACCACAGCACAGTCACGATGGTCAATGGCCACTGCTAACTTGATGGGATGAACCTGGGAGACCAGCCTCTGGGAATGCCTGTGAGGGGTTATCTAGACTGGGTTAACTGAGGTGGGACTATCCACCCATTGTGGGTAACAGCAGCATTCCCATGGTTGGGTTTCTGGCATGAATTGAAAAGGATGAATTTGTGATGCTTTTCTGCCCTCTAGTGGTAACAGGGAGCAACAACCCTCAAGAACCTTCAAGAAGGAATGGCTGAAGGAAACCAGATCCATTTTTAGGCTTATTCAGCTGTAAAGAATAACGAAACACGGCAAATGGACAGATGTGGGAATAATCATCGTGAGTAAGGTAACTCAAGCCCAATAAGACAAATCCTCTGTTCTTTCTCCTTTGTAGGTTCTAGATTTGAAAGCTTAGATTATGTGTGTTTAAACTAGAGTACCTACAGAAGTCTGAAAACCAGAAAGGGGCTCTGGGAAGATTTCAAGGCGTGAAACGTAATTTGATGGACACGACAAGGCTGTTGTACACATGATCTCAATGGCCGAGACTACATATACAACACACACACAAGACCAAGGGAGACAAAACCTCGGATGGACTGGGGGGGGGTGCACATGAAGTCCTGCTCTTAGCTGAGAAGCTACTGGCAACCGATGGCGGCTTGGGAGAGGGAGTAGTTTTCGTTGGGTGTGTGGCCCCTGCAAGGCTACCCATGCTCTAGCACGCGGTCCTACACTCATACACATACAAGAGTATTAGATGGACTCAGTGGGTTAGAAGGGAGAGAGAGTGTGCACATGAACCAGGGAGAGAAAAGTGCATGTGGGAGGAGCTAGAGGGAGAGAGAGAACAGGGGGTGGGTTTGATTCACACAGACATCATAGGGATGCATGAAATCTTCAATAGGAAAACCCTACACCAAGAGGGCAGGAAACCACCCAAAGCTAAGCATGCTGGTTCACTGCTCTCCACTTCCCGACTACGGCTGCAATGTGGTCAGCGGCCTCCCACTTCCCGCTGCCATGTCTTCCCCACCACGGTGGACTTCTCAGCTATACACCAAACTAAAGATTTCCTCTCCCAAGATGCTTCTTGTCAAGTGTTCTACTTTGCTTTTCTGTTGCTGAGATGAAACAGTTTATTTTATTTTTTTTTCCTCTTACATTTGGTGACCGTCCATCACTGAGAGAAGTCAGGCCAGGAACTCAAGGCAGGAACCTGGAAGCAGGAGCAGAAGCAGACACCATGGAAGAATGCTGCTATCCGCTCACGCCCAGGCCCACACCCAGTTACCTTTCTTAGAGGGCCCAGGCCAACCGACCTAGGGATGGAACTGCCCACAGCGGGCAGAGCCCTCCTAGATCAGGTAGCCATCAAGAAAGTGTCCCACGGACACGCCTCCAATTTGATGGAGGCAATTTCTCAGCGGAGGTTCCTTCTTCCCAGGTGGTGTCAAGTTCACAACCAAGATTAACCATCATGTGAGGCATTTGGTCTCAGCAATGAGACCAGTAACTAAAAAGAACAATATCATTTACCCTGACAGTCAACCAGTTTCATTTCAGAATCACAGGTGGGAAGCCCAGAGCATCTGAGAAACATATGTCCTCTTCCTATTAAGAACACAGCAAGTTTTGCTTAAGATAGTTTTATTTTTATTTATATTTTGCACATGTCTGTGTAGTATGTGGGTATGCCTGTCTGTGTGTGTGTGTGTAGTGTGTATATGTATATGTGTATGTGTGTGTAGTGTGTGTATAGTGTGTGTGTAGTATGTGTGTATAGTGTGTGTGTGTGTGTGTGTGTGTGTGTGTGTGTGTGTGTGTGTGTGTGTATACACCTTTGGAAGATGGGGCCTTGTGGTAAAAGTTAGATTGTGTGGCATGCCTTTGAAGAGGATATGGGAACCCTGGCTTCTTCCTCTCTCTTCCCATCACAGCCACCATGGAGTAAAAATCTGCCCCACCTTATGCTCTCCATCATCAAGCGGGCTCTTACCCAGAAGCCCCCAAACAACATGCCAACCCAACATGGACTCAGACCATGCGCCAGAACAAGCCCTTCTTCATTTTTACTTGACTGTCTCAGGCATGGACGTCACAGTCACAGGAAGAGGAGCAGCACAAGAATATTGCTTAGTGTTTGTGGAGTCTTAGAACCCAAGGCTAACAACTCCTTCGCAAGAGTGGGAATGTTTGTGGGGTGCTTAGCAATAATGATCTGGTCCTTACTTGTGTCGATGAAGACAGCATCCACATAGATTTTGGTACAGAAAGAGCCCAGAATAAATCCACAGGCTGGTCCAAATACCAACATCGTGAACAGGATTCCTGCAAGAAGAAAATGAAAGGTTAGGTTAAAACACAGAAGCCCCTCAAAGAGCAAAATCACCAAAGGTCAAACAGATGATCTTACATTGGCCAGGCAAGACACCTGACACCTGACAATATGACAAACGACAATATGAGGAGCTAGTCCAAACATCACAGAGGGGATATCAGTGCTTTCCATCTTCGAGAACGCCACGAGAATACTGCATATCACGCTGGAATTCCACAGGATTCTGTTTTAGATTTTATTGTTGTTTTAAATCATGTGTATACGTGTGGATTTATTCATGGGAGTGCTGTGGCCTCAAAGGTGTGGAGGAGGGCATTATATCCCCTGGAGCTGGAGTGAGAGGTGGCTGTGAGCCAACTGATGTACATGGTGGGAACACACCTGGACCCTCTGCAAGAGAAGCGAGCATTGCTAACCAATGAGCCATCTCTCCAGCTCCTCTCCAGGAACTCCAGAGGTAGCTCTAACAAGGTATTCATAGGCTCAATCTCTCTTACCTTTAGAGGACTTTGTGCCACATCAATCAGAAATACTAAAATAATCCAAATCTGGCACTAAATACTTTTCCTACCATTAAGAAATCTGAAGGGGAGGGGTGCTGGAGAGACATTTCAGTGGGCAAAGCGCCCAGCATAAATATAAGGACCTACATTTGGATCCTTAGGACTAACGTATACGCCAACCATGGCAGCCAGCCTGTAATCCCAATATCGGAAGGTCAGGACATAATGATCCCTGCGGCTCATTAGTCACCCAGCCCAGCTTAGTGGGTGAGATCGAGCTTCAGTGAGACACAATGGCTCAGAGAAGATGTAGAGCAACCAGGGAAGATACCTGATGTCCCCTTCCAACCTCCACATGCACATATATACACGTGCACAGACACCTGCACACATACATGCACCCCCATGTACACACACACACACACACACACACACACACACACACACACACACACACACCACAGAAAGGATTTTGAAAGGATTTTTACAACTCTGTGTTTACATTCATTTTAGCTATACCTCTCATTCCATCCATTCTTTCTTTCTTTTTTTGCTAAGATTCTAGGCACTCATACAAACTCAAGAATATTTGGGAAATGAGAAAAATCCAATCCACAAATGATTTTCAAATGCAGCCAAATATTTATAATCTTTAAACACAATAAATATGAAAACCCACACAAGAGTATACATCGAGAAGAAGTGACTAGACATTGGATAACTTCAGTTTCGCCACCCCCGTACTGTGGAATCACGGTCAATGGTTGTTCAGGACTCAAGCCTGTCTGTGGACCTGAGATGATGGCAGGCTTTGGCTGCGTATTTAGTTACCTGGAGACTGTAGTACACAAGCTTTACACAAAATTTTTGGCTCGCTTTTAGAAAAGCACCGAGCCTAAACTAAAACTCACAGGCTATAAACGCTTAATTCAATTTCAGTCTCAGAGACATATTCTGAGCACTGACCATCCCCCAGCCATGTGGATAAAGAGGAAAGTAGCAATCCCCTCACGACAGAGACAGTTATCAGATGGGGACAGCCAGGAACTCATGCACAGGTAGATGGTCCGGAACAGTGGGTTCCAGCAGGTCTACCTGGGAATCAGTGTCACAATGGGAACCCAAACTCGCATGCAGGAAGACACATCTGTCTACTGACTGGCTCCCTCAGAGGTGGGGCTCAGAGTATGTGGCTCACTGGGAAGTGTGCCTTGTATAGGTTCATTTTATCCTCAACCCTTCTCATTAGCCACTCAGCTTCCTGCTCACCATGAAGCCAGCAGCTCTGCCCTGCCATGCCCTTCCGCCATGGCAGTCTGCTACACCACAGGCTTAAAATCAATGGAACCAAAGACCGTGGACTGAGACCTCTGAAAACACGAGCCAAATAAATCCTCTGCCCACCAAGCTGTTTCCCCAGGCATTTCGTCATAGCGATGCAAACTGGCAAACTTGGCTTGTGAGCATTCACAAGCTCCTTCCAGGAGCCAAGCACTAACCTCAGGCTTCGAGACTCAGTACCAAACTTCAGACGGTTAAGGACCCTGGTCGTCATGGAGCTCACTGACTTACAGGAGGGGCCCCAAAGAAAACTCCAGAAGCTATAGACCCAAGTTCAAACGTTTCAAGTTCAAACGTTTCTAAGTATTTGGCAATGGAAATTAGGTCTTTACAAATAGGAACCCAGAGCCCCAGAGCAATCACTTGATTTTGGCCTGTAGACAGTCAGACAGACACAATGAAAAATAATGTTTTGTATCACAAGAATGGACTGCTAGAAAGAAATTAATCTGTTTCAAAATACCCAAAGGATAGCAACAGACCTCAAATCTCACAGCTATTCATATTTAAGGGCAAGTTTTAAAAGGGAAACATGTTAACTTTGGAAAGGAACAGTGTCTACAGAACCAGCACGCCAGTCCACTTTGTCACATTGCAGATAGATTATGATAGCGTAACAAAGAATAGTGTGTGTGTGTGTGTGTGTGTGTGTGTGTGTGTGTGTGTGTGTGTGTAGGCAGTGGCAGAGAGAGAGAGAGAGAGAGAGAGAGAGAGAGAGAGAGAGAGAGAGAGAGAGATAGAGAGAGAGATACAGGGATGGACTCCAGGACCCGGTAAATGATAGGCTAGTGCTCTACCACTGTGGTACATCCCTAGCCAAGTGACTCCTCCTCAGAGAGATATCATAGTAAGCAAACAGCAAGCTGGTTTTGAAAAATTTTCTATGGACAGCCCAATAATACCACGTGGGAAGAGTCCTCTCATATCAGGAGGCATAAGGTCTCAGATGGAGCAGCCTTGGAGCAAGGCTCTGGATCCTTAGGGAAAGCTGAAGGTATTAGGCACAAGGGTCTCACAGAAAGTTACTTGTGAATTTGTTTCCCCAGCTCTCCTTTCCTCATGCTGTGTACATGTGCGCATGCGTGTGCGCATGCGTTTTAATTTAGCAAAACTACCTCAAAATGATACCTGGCTGTAGCATCCCGGTGAAGAACAGGTGGTCCTGGTCCAGAGGGGAATGGTTTTGCTGTTCTTTTAAATTTGTGGCTCAAGAGTGCCCTCTGCTGTCTCTCTGGTGTCTATACACCACAGAAAGGGCAGGCTGTGGAAGAGCCTGAGAAAGCAAGCCAGGAAACCACCAAGGCAGAGTGGCCTCTGTCTATTACCCTGTCTAACCCAAACCCCTTTACAACTCTAGTCCCCTGTAATCTCTTCAATCATTGAAAGAGGAAGTGTGTGGATAGATGCGCTCTCAAACGCTCCTTTGTCTGCAGCTTGCAACCAGCACATTACAAGCAAAGGACCAGAAGCCAGGACGCCCCATCTTTAAGGGGACCGCCCAGGTGAGGGGTAAGGACTGGATAGCCTGGGTTGAAACCCCAGATCTGCTATTTTCTATCCTCACAAGAGCTCACTTGCTCCTCTGATGTTGCCAAGGGCAGTGGATGCTACCCTTGCTTTCTAGTGGTGATATGCCCAGAAAGAGGAAGAGGTCACCGGGAGGGAATGGAGGATGCTGGTGGCGAAGCTGTGACCTCCTTAAATTAGTGGACATCTGCCGTTGCCAAGCTGGGCGCTGAGGGACCATGAGCCCCGCCCCCTTGAACTCAGAGGATCCTGTAGAATAACTTTTGGAAAGCAGTCTCATTTATTATTTTATGTGTATGTGTCTGTGCCTAAGTGTACCACATGCACGCAAATGCCAAAGCAGGGCAGAAGAGGGCATCAGATAACCTGGCACTGCAGTTACAAGTGGAAGTGAGTCACCAGCCATCCTGCATGTTTGGACCCAAACTCGGGTCCTCTTCAAGGGCAGGAGTGCTCTTGACTGCTGAGCCAACTTCCCAGATCCATGGCATCAGCACCCGCCCACACCTCTCTTTCTTGTGATTTTCAACTGTTTCTTTTTGTTTTCAGCATCAAAGATTTATTTTTCTTTTATTTTTGAAATTACAGTATACTTACATCATTTCCCTCTTCCCTTTCCTCCCTCCTAACCCTCCCATACACCCTTCCTTGATCTCTTTCACATTCATGTCCTCTTTTTAAAAATTGTTGTTATGTGTGTGTGTGTCTGTATATGTGTGTGTGAGAGTCTGTGTGTGTGTGTGTGTGTGTGTGTGTGTGTGTGTGTGTGTGTGTGTGTGTCTGTGTCTGTGTGTATGACATCCCGTCTTTGAGAACTGAGTTTTCTGTAGTTGCCGAGAAGGAAAGCACCCATGGAAATCAGTTACGGGGAGGAACTGAAGGTAGCAGGGTCTGAACGGATTCTTGGCTTGGAGGAGCCCTGTAGCTCCCTAAAGGGACACTCAGCAATTGTTAGAGATCAGGACAACTGAAAGACAACCTTTTTCTCTCATTTTCAAACAATTACTATGTTGTTTGGATATACACCACTTAGCAAATAGAACTATCAGTTATTTCTTCCAGACTCAGGGTTCATATGTGTATATAAATAAAAGGACAAATGAGGGAGGATTAGGAGACAGGTGTGATTTTTCTTGATTCATGCACAGCCGCTGAAAGCAGTCTGGGCCATGCCAGGCTAGCCTTATTATGGACCATAGCAAGTCTCAAGAAAACGATGCCCAGGGACACCTCTTGATAGTGATACTACCTTCTTTCATGTTATGCATCCTTCAAAATTAGTACCAGTCACCTGGAGCCTGGGAAAGAAAGAGAAATGGGCCAAAGATTTTGTCAAGAAATTGGCTGCCATGTTAGACTTTTAACTACCACGTGTCAATCAACAATATGTACTGGGCATGCACCTTGTGGCAGGCCCTGTACCAGGAACTGGGGGTATGGCAGTGAATACAACAGACATCTTGGTCCTTGTGAGGTTTGTATTCTGGAAGATGAGAGGCAACAAACCAACCTACTTACCATGTTCTTTTAGTAGGAGTACAAGATAAGAATGTGTAACTGCAGCTAGGGCAAGTAGTCTCACAGGCAAATTCTATATTGCTAGTTTGGTAGCCAAAACA